CAAGTAAATTTGTTTAAATAATTAATCTTACGAAAATTGATACATTCGAATAATTAAAAATATGATATTACATTAATAGGCACAGATAAAGGGGAAGATATATAGCCCTTTTATTCCAGCATAAAATACTGAAAACCACATAAAAATTTTGAATGTAAGCATAAAAAAAATTATCGTTGATTTTTTTCTTATTTCTTTTAAAAATGAAGAAAATTTGTCTTTGTTTAATTAATTTTCTTTCCAATTTGTAAGGCTTTCGGAATGAACTGTTGTCCCATATTAATGGCCAATTACTGGTCTGTCGTTTTTCTTTCACTTTTTGATATCCATAATGTTTTTGTATGGAAAATTGGTAAATTCCATTTTTTAAATGTTTGCATTCTTTGATTTTCATTATCATCGGAAAAATCCCTCTTAGAATTGTCTGGCATGAATATCTTTGAAGCAAAGTATGAAAATGGAACTTGAAAAAAAATGTAGCAGAAAACTGATGAAATAACGGAGAGTGCCAACACTAATAAGAATGTCATGCACTAGAAAAAATAAACAAATTTGTATTAAACATATTTCGACACAAATAAAGATGATAAATCCGTATATAAATATTGTACAGTTACATTTAAAAAAACACAAATGCTACACAATAATAAAATATTTTAAATTTGTTTATAGTAAGACGTCGTACTATTTATTTATTTATTTATTTAAATAGTATATTTATTTTATATATTTTTATTATTTATAGTATATTAATAAATAAATAGTCTTATTTATTTAAACTGTAATGCAAGACACAATGCGACAAAATGAGTCATATGCATAAAAATAAATGCATAAATATACCCTTATAAGCATGAAGTGAATGCTTTTGAATGAAGCTTTGTTTTTGTAATAAGTATTACGCATGAATAAGAGTAAAGATTTACTTCGAATTATAAGCATATCTTTTAAAATTCGTACATCTATTCAAACGTAGACTCAACAGCAAAGAAATGTGGTTTGTTTTTATTAATGTAGTTAATCTAACGATAGTTAAATATTATAAACTTCGTTCCTCTCCATAAGTCACTGATTTCAACGCGTTATTTAGGTTTGAAGACGAAAGTCTTTGGTGGTTGGCACATAACTTTTTACTAGAGACTAAAGAATCACGGGCTTGCACACTAATTTCTTTACAAAAGATGAAAAGATGTTTAAGATGATTCTGGATGCCAAATAGCCATGAGATAGGAACTTGTAGTGCATTAAACTGCGTGACGAACTGTGAGCAATGTTGTGGAGAACGTAATACCTCTAATCGTTAGATGAAAATTATCTACAACAGATCATTCTGTCATGAAAGCTATGACCAAATTAGTATCGCTTTCCAGCTGCAATTGATATGATTGACTGCATTTGCGTAGGAATAAAACAACGTAGTCTTAACGAGTAATGAGTACATTAATCGAAAAGGAAAACCCACATTATACATAAAAGCTACTTGTGATTTCAGATGCATGTACACTAGAGTTGACATTCGTTAAATATATAAACTAAACAAAACCCAACACGCCTATGACTAATATGAATTCAATACCGCTAAAAAATAATATGACATAAAAACGAGATTAAAGCAAGTTTAATCTCGTCCTTATGTTATGTAACCCAATAGCTTGATATTTTGTTATGCTTTATGTAATATAGAGCATAACAAAATAATGCTCTAATTCTATATTTCGTTAAATATCTAATCTCAATAAATAGTCTAGTATAGATAAGTGATTTGTCTGAGCATCCGTTTTCCGAATCAACGCGACCCCTCCAACACTCGATTTACATCTCCTACAAGACGTCGTCACTCGGACGTCGACTACAGGTTCGAAGGACTTGCGAGTTAGGGCGCGCATTTTAATTAACCTAGCTGGCATTTTAATTACCTAGCTGGTATTTAAATTAAGAAAGACCGAGATCACACGATCTCGTTGTCTTCCTTAATTTAAACAGTAATATATCGCCATCCTTGACAAGCGGAGATCTTACCGACCCCGATCTCACAATTATATTTTACGAAACTTCAAAAAATATATTAGAAAAAATTTATTACCAAGTTTATTTGTGTAAATCTATGTGGACTTCTAAATTCTCCAAAAAGATAAAGAATAAATGCGGGGTGCAGAAGATAAATCCAGATTGTTAGTCGATCCATTACGACGAAGAAGTCCATGGATAGGAATTTGTTTGCTACACCTACAACATTAATTAATCAAACTATTGTTATATAAAGAAACAATATTATCAACTCTGTTCACCTACCTCCATATCCCGATAAGCATGCTACAAATGTCCAAGCTGTTACAAATATCCATGCGATCGGAGAAAGAATCTGATGAGCAAGAATTATTGACTCATTCGGATAGGGATCATTTCTGTAATTGTGCAAACCGAACAGGACAAGTCCCATCAAACAAATTGTCGTAATCCAACATGAAACAACAACCATCTGAAATTGCGGTAAATATGAATTTTAAATTCAAATTTCAAATTTTGATTTTCTCAAATCAGTAGTACATATCACAAATAATTTTAGTATTTAATGTAAATTTGTATTTAATGTAAAAATGAATAATGAAGCAATCTCTCTCTTGTTATTGCTACTTAAAGTTTATCAATAATTAAGGAGTTGGTTTGCTATTGAGCAGTGCTGCCGTTTCTAGGGAAATTTCAATCTCTCAGGGTACTGTTTAGTGTAGTTTTACATTTAGGGTAAATCTAAGGTAAAACTGCCCTGTGGTATGATGCTTTTATTGTATACTTGTAAAAGAAATCTATGCCAGATTTGATTTCAGTAATCACATTTTTTTCATATCTGCTTTTGCTTGAACCTAAAAATTGTCAAAATTTAACAGTGAGGTTTTGCAGCTATTGTTTAAAATGTTCAAAAATGTTAAGAAAATCACTTATGGCTGCTGTTATTTTCGTTGTGAATTTGTCTCTTTAATCCGATTTTCAGTTCGGTAGACTATCATATACAGCATTCAAGTTATGAACTTCCTTTATTGATTTGTCATATGCATTTCGGACTCAATTGTAATTTAAGTCCTCTTCAGTACAAACTCAGTATCTGTTTTCTAAAACCTCGGTGTACAGAAGAGGGACTTAAATTACAATTGAGTCCGAAATGCATATGACAAATCAATAAAGGAAGTTCATAACCTGAATGCTGTATATGATAGTCTACCGAACTGAAAATCGGATTAAAGAGACAAATTTACAACAAAAATGTTAAGGTTGATATACAAGTTGTAAACAATAAATGGTGTAAACAAGTCCTGCTTAACTTGGGATCAAAAACTTATACTGTCAGATTCTACTGGTCAGAGATATTTAATTTAAAAAATACTGCAAAGTTTGTTTCAGATCTTGAAAAATTATTGAGTTTATTGATGAGATTACCAGCATCCAGTGCATCTGTTGAGCGAATGTTTAGTCAGCTAGGATTGTGTATGACATCGCACAGACTTTCTTAAAGACTGAAACGATTTGTAACTTAATACATGCACAGTCCGGTATTAAAAATATATTGTTTTATTTGAACCTTCCAAACGAATTTTAAAACGCAAATATATGTGTAAATAAATGAATTTTAAAAACTGATCATTTACGTATTGAAGTATGTTTGAAATCAAGTAAATGGCTTATTTAATTTTTTATCTTCAGGTAAGTTACACAACACATATTGAAAGTGAATTAATTAAAATTAAGTTAAATAATTGCATTCATTAGACTTATGGAAATATTTTATGAGTATTTAAAAACAAGGCGAGATATTTCTCGTTTGTCAAATTAGGATTACCAAACTAAAACATCAAATATCTCCATATCAGATGTAAATTAATTAATTTTTCTGATAAAACCTAAAAATCCAAAGACATTTTAGTTATTAACATTTTTAAAAACAATGAATTGAGAATTGTTCTGATTATGATTTTACGATAATAGTATAGGGATCGGCGTCATAGAATCGTTCTTCTTGTTTTTCTTTTATCCGAGCATGAGCTTGATGGTCGTTTTCTCGGTCGGTCGGTCAGGGTGTTCCACCAGAAGCAGGCAGCAGCACCGTTCTTGAGACATCGTTACATTATTAGAGAAATTATTATTCGCGCAGATCTTAACACAGTAACACCATTATATTAAAAATAACGTTAAGAAATTAGCAGTTAAAATATATTCATTGATTATATGCAAGATCTTAATTTTGTTTATTATCTAGCTACTTCACTCATGTAGCACGGATGGTAATGGAAATGATAAAGTATTTGACCTAGAAACACTCAAAACTCCAATTCACTTTAAAATATACTTAAATTATTTTTTTATATAGGTTTTCTTACATTTTACTCTGTACATTAAATATTAATAATCAACTACAAAATAAACACGTATAATTATTGTTCGAGACGTATTACAAATATCTTACACGAAGTTTGAAACAAAAAATCTATTATTAAATCGCAAGTTTTCTTATTCGTACTTATTTATAAAGTACATTAGGCTATATTATTTGACCTAGAAATAAAAATACAGTTGCCGAGTTGCCGGTTGAAATATGCAAATTAAATATACTACTTCAAACTATAATAAACTGAGATATAGTTATTTGAATAATCATCGATAGGCAGAACAAAGCATAATTTCAACTACTGTCTTATAGAAAGAATGGAAGAATTTAAATAATGATTTTTATTTGTAAATGTGAAAGTTATTTACTTTATCATTAGTATTGTATTGACATTATAATATACATGAGCTAATTATTATATCAGAAAGAAAAGCATTTCTTTCTGGCCTTGATTATAACGAGCTTCTAATAAGAAGTAAAGCCAATTTAAAGAACCAAACGAAATCAAAGTCGAAAAATGTGCAATAATGACAAATGCTTCGATTTTCATATTCCTTTTCAAGTTACATTTATTTGCAGATATGTACCGTACATATGTGCAAATAAATCCAAGTTCAAAAATACATAATATATAATCATTTAAATTGCTTTTTATGAAATTTATCGTCTATGTCTTGACACATTTATTTATACGTTGCAACTGCACAAAATCGGCGAAGGTATTTAGCGCAAAAATGGGGATTCCTTCCTTTCCATTTTACATTAAATATCGTCTCAATTCAGAATGTATTTTCTTACTGTTCACTAACTCTTGATCTTTTATATCCTCTCCACCATTATTTTTATCTATAGCTTGTAAGTGTTATTTTGAGAGTACGTGTGCAATAATTGCAATGTACCCAATCCTCATTTTCATTAAAACANCTCATTCGGATAGGGATCATTTCTGTAATTGTGCAAACCGAACAGGACAAGTCCCATCAAACAAATTGTCGTAATCCAACATGAAACAACAACCATCTGAAATTGCGGTAAATATGAATTTTAAATTCAAATTTCAAATTTTGATTTTCTCAAATCAGTAGTACATATCACTTTATTGTACGACGAACGAATTAAATTAAAAAAAAAACAAATCAGCGTTATTCAGCAGCAATTAAATAAAAATGTAGACATAAATTCCCACACTCGTCCGTTCGCCTGTCTTTCCTTAAATCTTAAGAAGGGAATTGGATATTTATTAGTCGAGAAAAGATGTGGAAAGCGCAGGGAAAGGAGACCCCGGTTAACGATATAAAAGGTTCCGATATAATCCGGATATCACATTATTTCAACTCAAATGTTTTCCCCTGAAATGTTTTAGATAGTTGAACGGCACGACTCTGTTGTTAGAGGAAAAGTATGATGTACAGTTCATGGCAAGTCACTAATGATATGAGGTAGAGTGCATATATTTTAAATTAAATTAATTAAACATGATTAAAATTTGCAACTCGACACTGTGACAATGTCACAATAAATAACTGTTTAAATACAGTATTTAATAATATATTTATTTAGTAATAACACTCCTTTACACAAATTTTGTAAAAGTTAAACTAAATTTCATAAGTCATTGGAACTATTAATAAAGACTATTATATCCCTTACCAAAAATAATATAACGCATTTACTATAAGTAAATTTGTTTAAATAATTAATATTACCAAAATTGATACATTCGAATAATTAAAAATATGATATTACATTAATAGGCACAGATAAAGGGGAAGATATATAGCCCTTTTATTCCAGCATAAAATACTGAAAACCACATAAAAATTTTGAATGTAAGCATAAAAAAAATTATCGTTGATTTTTTTTCTTATTTCTTTTAAAAATGAAGAAAATTTGTCTTTGTTTAATTAATTTTCTTTCCAATTTGTAAGGCTTTCGGAATGAACTGTTGTCCCATATTAATGGCCAATTACTGGTCTGTCGTTTTTCTTTCACTTCCTGATATCCATAATGTTTTTGTATGGAAAATTGGTAAATTCCATTTTTTAAATGTTTGCATTCTTTGATTTTCATTATCATCGGAAAAATCCCTCTTAGAATTGTCTGGCATGAATATCTTTGAAGCAAAGTATGAAAATGGAACTTGAAAAAAAATGTAGCAGAAAACTGATGAAATAACGGAGAGTGCCAACACTAATAAGAATGTCATGCACTAGAAAAAATAAACAAATTTGTATTAAACATATTTCGACACAAATAAAGATGATAAATCCGTATATAAATATTGTACAGTTACATTTAAAAAAACACAAATGCTACACAATAATAAAATATTTTAAATTTGTTTATAGTAAGACGTCGTACTATTTATTTATTTATTTATTTAAATAGTATATTTATTTTATATATTTTTATTATTTATAGTATATTAATAAATAAATAGTCTTATTTATTTAAACTGTAATGCAAGACACAATGCGACAAAATGAGTCATATGCATAAAAATAAATGCATAAATATACCCTTATAAGCATGAAGTGAATGCTTTTGAATGAAGCTTTGTTTTTGTAATAAGTATTACGCATGAATAAGAGTAAAGATTTACTTCGAATTATAAGCATATCTTTTAAAATTCGTACATCTATTCAAACGTAGACTCAACAGCAAAGAAATGTGGTTTGTTTTTATTAATGTAGTTAATCTAACGATAGTTAAATATTATAAACTTCGTTCCTCTCCATAAGTCACTGATTTCAACGCGTTATTTAGGTTTGAAGACGAAAGTCTTTGGTGGTTGGCACATAACTTTATACTAGAGACTNTAGCACGGATGGTAATGGAAATGATAAAGTATTTGACCTAGAAACACATAAAACTCCAATTCACTTTAAAATGTACTTAAATTATTTTTTTATATACGTTTTCTTACATTTTACTCTGTACATTAAATATTAATAATAAAGTACAAAATGAACACGTATAATTATTGTTCGAGAAGTATTACAAATATCTTACACGAAGTTTGAAACAAAAAATGTGTTATTAAATCGCAAGTTTACTTATTCGTACTTATTTATAAAGTACGTTAGGCTATATTATTTAACCTAGAAATAAAAACACAGTTGCCGGTTAAAATAACCAAATTAAATATACTATAAGAAAGAAACTTCAAACTATAAGAAACTGAGATAGTTATTTGAATAATCATCAATAGACAGAACAAAGCATAATTTCAACTACTGTCTTATAGAAACAATGGAAGAATTTAAATAATGATCTTTATTTGTAAACGTGAAAGTTATTTACTTTATCATTAGTATTGTATTGACATTATAATATACATGAGCTAATTATTATATCAAAAAGAAAAGCATTTCTTTCTGGCCTTGGGTATAACGAGCTTCTAATTAGAAGTAAAGCCAATTTNGAAGTCTAAAACTTCTGCACGCAAATATAGTTACTAGAAGTCTAAAACTTCTGCACGCAAATATAGTTACTAGAAGTCTAAAACTTCTGCACGCATAATCATTTTTAAAGAAAAGTATGCTTATTATGCTTACTATGTGGCATGCAAGCTCAAAAAAGTTCGCCATCCCTGGCCTAGGATAATGTAGTTTGGCGTAAATACTTTAGGCTTAACTAGTTTGACCTAGGCCGAACTGATTTATGTACTATAAATAGGCGCCAGTGTATAAAAAAATGATTTTGTGTAATTCGAAATGCCACCACAGTACACTCGGTTGTTAAAGTGTACCTAGGTAATCCCAAGGCGATGCTTCCGTTAGGTTGGTTTGGTTAGGTTAACTACATTTTTAGTAGACTTTTTTTTTTCTTTCGTTCAAGAACTACCGTGAATCAATAACTACTGACGTTAAACAATGAGCGGCCTGCCAGTGGCTCCCCTCCAGGAGTTCGCCGGGAGCACGAACAGTCCGAAGTGCCGTCATTGGGGTTACCAAGGTACACCTTAACCCACCCTGTAAAAATAAATAAAAGATTAAATATTTTATGTTACACTAAGAAAAACAAACAAGTTCATTTTTAATTCTAGTTTGACTTTAAAAGTTATTTTTATTATTTCGTTTGAATTTTCGAAAATATTTTCGAAAGTTAATTACCTTTAAAAGTTCATGGCTTAATAAAAAAAAATACAAACTGATAAGTACTGATTAGCTTATTTTTATTTTAAAGTTTTCTACAAGTGTTGTGTCACTTCTAATCAATACGATTTTTTATAATTAAAAAGACTATGCTTGAATGAATATTGTTCATCTAATTGATTGCCTTTTAATTTTATTTTAACCATTAATATACCTAAATCAGACCTGGCCAACCCGCGGCCCGTTACATTAAATTGTGTGGCCTGCTAAGCAATATTATAGGGGAGATCGGGGCAAGATCGGCATGTTAAGCTTTACTTAAATTTTGTGTAATAAATACTGCTGTAAACTGAAAAAAAAAGCATTGCATATTGTCTACTGGAATGTTACCTTACTATAGAACTGGTTAAAATCAGTTTGGAAATAAAAATAATTAAAATAATTACAACTTTACAAGAAGAAAGAAATTGACGAAGTTGCCCCGGGTATTGGGGCAAGATCGGCAACTTCTCTCTTTTTGTAAAGTTGTAATTATTTTAATTATTTTTATTAAAGTTGCCCCTGGTATAGGGGCAACAGTAATGGGGCAAGATAGGCACGTATATAAAATTATGTTATTAACAATGTATAAGTTGGAATTCACTATTAAAACAAAGAAATACAAATCCAACACCCATTTAATATTATTACAACGAAATG